ACTGAGGAGGAAAAACTTGAAAACGGAGGGAGAACAAAATGAACACAACATGCAGGGAATGAAAGAAGTAGCTTTATTTACTAACATCAAAAGCATTAGTTTAATACAGGGGTACATTTAAATGACTTTTTAAAAAGCTGTAGAAACCCCTGAACAAAGTTGTGCTCTGTCTCTTTAAACTGAGCACCCAGTGGTGGTCCTCAGTATGAAAGGAGAGAGAGTCAAGTTTACAACAATACAACCTATTATTTCCTGCTGTTCTTTACAATATCAACATTTATTGACATTTCAAATGAGGATGTCTTTTTTTTTACATCTGCCATCTTTCAAAAAAGACTGTTGACTGTTGAAGTCTCAAATGAGCGTTGGCTTAAAGGGGACCTATCATGCAAAATGCACTTTTGTACGTCTTTTCTACATGAATATGTGTCCCCGGTGTTCCAGGGAACTCACCAAGTGTCAGAAAACACAACCCTCTCTATTTTCCTCCATACCCAAATCTCTAAAAAAGGGGCCTGCAACGATCTGATAAAAACTGATCCAGATTTGAACACTGTCCTGACGTCAGGACGGTGGCGCTACGGCTATTGGGCCAACTCCACCAATCAGGAGGAGACAGCCACGGCCATTGCCGTTCGAAAGCGCTGGAGACGCTGTAGTACATATGCCAGGCCTGTAGATGGTGCTGTTCTCACTGAATCAGCACTTGCAAAAACAGAGCTAAAAAATGTCAAATTGAGCGAAATGAGGCATGGCTAAAATGAATGATCTGTTTGGTATTTTGAAAAAAAAAAGTATAAATATGCCTTATATAGGTATGGCCCTACACTATATTATTATAATATAGCATGATAGGTCCACTTTAACTTTGTAATGCATTATCAAACACAAGTGCTGGGGAAATTCTACCTGTCCAGCTTATCTATTTCATCAACACTGTACCAACTATAGGCTTTAACTTATGTACAAAGCCTTGTTTATGTTAGAACAATTTCACTCGTCACTGGCTTGGTCTTCAATATCAGAATACATGTATTTATTATCCTTGCAAGAATGGAAGTAGTCATCACACACAGGGCTGCGTGGGACAAATAGTTCCCAGAGTAGAGTCCCTTGATATACAAGATGAGGGAGTTACAGTCAAACAAGATGGAAGAATTACCGGTTCAAAGCCAGTATTCTGACATTAGTTTAAGACCTACTGCTAAGGCCCTGCGTAAGCAATACACATGACATTCATATGCGTATCTCTCTAGGGGCTATGTCATCATGCCAATCTTAGGAACAAAGCTATCATAACTTCGACACAGTGTCATGAGCGTATCCATGTAGTCATACATCCGGCTACGTTACACAGCTACGTAGGGCCTCTGTTATCATGTGCTACTCTGAATAGAAGGAACATTCAGTATTTTTCCCAACTTAAGGGTTAGGTTAGGGGTTTCTGTTGTTACAACCTAATTCCCCAACGAACTATAGCAATTCAAAGTGCTTTACACAACGTTGGAAATATACTAATTGCCATAATAAACACATTTACAGAATGACATTTAAATACATTATATTTACAAATGCATACAACAGTCATTAAAAAGCTCAGACAATAACAATAAAATAAAAGGAAAGGACTGTATTAGGACTCATTAACCCTCCTATTGTCTTTGTTCCCCCCCCCCCCCCTTACTTTGGTTGTTTGCGGTTCCAAATTTGACCGGTTCTGTTTTTTTAACTGCTATTACATTAACACAAAAAACCATTAATCATCACCAAATTTCATTTAACACCCTTTTCAAACTGTACATATTGTATCAGACTACTGGTATACATGAACAACTGCAGTACATATACAAAGAATAGACACTGAACATGTATTGTGAGTGCCAGGTGTGATCCATGTGGGGGGATGGGCACATAAGAGCGGGAACACATCTTGAGGGACCGGGAACACCATGGGTGTTACAAAGTTGACTAAATCATCCAAAATCCAATGAAAGTGGTGTGATCATCAATTTGATATGTTCAAAGTCTACTGTGAAGGATATCATAAGCTCTGAATGCAATCGAATGTAAAACAAAAAAGTTAAGATTGATGAAAGTAGTAAATCGGTCAGATTTGACCCGAAGACAACAGGAGGGTTAAAACATTTGAAACCTTTTCTTTAGCTTATTGTTCGCACCAAGCTCTTAAACAAGTTGGCTTTTAATTATGTTGTCTTCTGGGTTCTCAAAAAACCTGCATGCATATACACAATATACACATGTTCTTTTAGTTATGTCCAACTTTCTTCCATTGATGTGCAAAAACATGCTTTTATTTTGAAAACAACGTCCAACTTCCGGAGGTTTAATGGATAGCTGTTGCGCTTGACTCACGTCAGAGAAAGCTACTCTGAAGCGGATACACAAAGGGAGAGAAAGGACCTGCAGCGATGGGGATCAAACTGTACTACACCACCGTTACTGCCTCACGGACGGTGAGTTTTGTGGCCTTTATTCACCGGATTTACCGACATATTGGTGTTTTAGATCTCCGGTTGCAGCAGTTAAACGGAGCTCAGTCCGACAGACACACCCAGCACCCTATCAGCTTCCTCCTGACACACACAGAGGGCCTCTGCTGCTCTGCGCACATTTACACCTTTATTCTAACGTGAGCAATAACAGGTTGCAAGCTTAATGAAGATTAAAGTCATCATTTGTAAAAGTAATGAAAGAAACATATGAATGACTTGAACCCGGCATGCATGATTCCACCTCCTTTATGCTGGTTATCTTGGTGTTTAATCATTTGGCTTGTTTTTTGCAGAAGTGTGTACTGAAAATATATTGTCAATATGACTTAATTTAAACATTTAAAAATAACAGTGTCATTTTGGCACATAAGGTTTATCACATCGACCATATGCATCCGTTTCCTGTATTGAGGACTGTACGTCAAACGTAATGCAAAAAACGGTCACTTTAAGGTACATTGGTTATAGAACATTTACATTGTAATGATAAGGCTTTTTGCAAATAATGTGCATTTATTTTTAAGCAATACAGTTAATGCACTGAACAGCATTTTATTAAATGAATATTATATTATGTAAGTGACAGAACTGCCACTCAATCTTCTGTTGCAGTTACTAAGCAAGCATGAGGAAACTACTAGTACACAAATCTGTAAAATTACTTAATTAAGAGTTTTCTAAAGTTTTTATGTAAGCCGAATTGACAATTAGACTCTTTAATCCAGGGAATTCAGATGTTTCTATTCTCTGTTGTATATGTTAGTTGCTAAGCAGGATACTCTTAAATATATCAACTTGGCAATGAAGTGTTGAAGGATGTTTCGCTAGACACAGGAAGCGAGTCTTCCTTGAAACAGGTTGACATCCAGACTGTCTGCAGACATTTTCAAACTAGCCTTGTAAACACAAAATCCCTTGTAAGAATTATGTTTGTAGCGCTTGGAAAACACTGTATAACACACCAATGGGATTAACATCTGGTTCCCATTAGATGTGAGGAATTCAAGTAGTGAAATAGTTTTGTGACATGCACTTCTTTTATGTAGTGATGGTTACTATACCACATTGAATAACCTGAGACGTACTTTATTAAAAGTCATATTTCAAATGTAATTCCTCTTTTTGAAGATACTATGTTCAGTTTTGATTCTTCACAGAGAAGCTTTACTGCTGAATCTGTCAAACCAATTCCTCTTTTTCAACTCAAGGAAATGACATTACACAAACTGTGTGTGGCCAGCTGGTTTATGTTTCCAGTTAATGTTGTGGTAAGGTGTGGTCACTTTTTTTTACGAAACCCCCTCCCAACTTCCTCTGTCGCCCTCAAAGTTAGCAGCCGAGCGTTCACATGTTCTATTAATCATCAACAGGGAGCCAGATAAAGCCTCTGCTGTTCAAAGGCCACAGTTACAGACAAATAATAGTTTCTGTCACAGCACTCTGCCTTGAATGAAAATTAAATGAAATGACTCTGCCCTTGACGAATAATCATTTCACAGGGTTCATTAAATCAGCTCTCTGATAGCCATTAGTGTTTTGACTCAGTTATAGAGGTTATCTCAATAAAAGCATGATTTGATTTGTGATTGCAAATATTGCAATATTGTTGCGTAAAAAGATGTATCATGAATGCATCAATGGTGCTAAAGGTGACGGTGTGATGGGAGGCAACTTCAAATATCAGAGACTATATTGAGTAACATCATTTAATACTTAAGTCAAAGTCAGTCAACTTTATTGTCAATCAGTCAGTTTGTGTGGACAGACAGAGAGATCGAGATACCGTTTCCTACAATCCCGAATACAAAAACAAATATGTGTATACCTATATATATATATATATATATATATATATATATATATACACAATCAAAAGACACATTTATACACATGCACACATTAAGACCTAAATAAAAGCACAACAATCAATATATACAAAATAACAGTCACTTCAATATCTTTGAGAATGTACTTAACACCCATGAATAGAAAAAAAACGATAGCCATAATGAATGTTGTCTCATAATGGATGGCCTGTTTTTACAGAGTTTAAGAAGCACTACAATATACAGATAACATCCTCAGGATTTTAATCTTTGACTCCTCCTGGTACCGAGTACATTTCTGAAGAGTGTTGTTGTTGTGCAGGTGAAGTCTCAGCAGGCAGAGGTGATGCGGATCCTGGAGAGTAAAAGCATTCAGTACGAGCTCATCGACATCTCTGTGGGGGGGGAGCTCCGCGACGAGATGAGAAGCAAAGCAGGAAACCCCGCCGCTGTCCCCCCCCAGCTCTTCAACGAAGACCAGTACTGTGGGGTGAGGACGGCACACACACCTGCCTGGTTATTTTATATTTATTTCCCCTGAAAGGTCACCTATTATGCAAAATCCACTTGTTCATGTCTCTTCTACATCAACATGTGTCCCCTCTTCCTCATGTCTCTTCTACATCAACATGTGTCCCCTCTTCTTCATGTCTCTTCTACATCAACATGTGTCCCCTCTTCTTCATGTCTCTTCTACATCAACATGTGTCCCCTCTTCTCCATGTCTCTTCTACATCAACATGTGTCCCCTCTTCTTCATGTCTCTTCTACATCAACATGTGTCCCCTCTTCTTCATGTCTCTTCTACATCAACATGTGTCCCCTCTTCTTCATGTCTCTTCTTCATCAACATGTGTCCCCTCTGTGTAAAGAGACTCTGAAAGTTTCAGGAACAAAGATTCTCTCACTTTTTGTCCTGATCCATTTTTATAAAAAACACTTTATGATGTCATAACGTAGGGCTGTGCGATTATGGCAAAAATCATAATCACGATTATTTGGGTCAATAATTGATATCACGATTATTAAATACGATTATTCATTGACTTTGAAAACATCCATTTATTGAACTTTAAAACAAATACAAATAATAATTTGAACAGTATCTTTTTAACTGTTGATTACCCTGAACGTATAATTCAACTGAAAAACCAATACTAAAATAAATGATATATTTAAATAAATAATATCAAAATAATAAATACCAATAAACAAGATCAACAAATATTTTGGAGCGCACTTCCCCAAGCTACTAAACATATATGAATACAAATAAATGAGACCAAAATTAATTAGATCAAATATGTTGCACTGTCACAACCTAGCAAAGCAAAATAATTGTTTTTTTTCGATTATGTTGTTTTCGTAATTGTGGCAGGCCAAAATCGTAATTGCGATTAAAATACGATTAATTGCACAGCCCTATCATAACGTTTCTTTGTCTTGTGTAACCATTAGCCAATCAGCAACCAAGGTAACCCCCCCCCCACCTTATCACCTGAATCTCCTCCTAGAGCACCATTGAGTTCTTTGTAACCAAATCTCTCTCAGAGGGGCGTGGGGAGGGGCTCCTTATTTTCATCTGAAGTAACAGACAGAGAATCAGCACTTTGGAAACAGGGCTGAAACAGAGGGGATTATGGGTAATGCTGCAATGATCTGTTTGGTGTTTGGAGCCAAACACTTCAGAGACATGTTCTGTATATATCTGAGACCTGTAATATATTGATGAAAAACAGTATAATAGGAGACCTTTAAACACTCCATCAGCGTAGTCATAAAATACTTTAAAATGTTGCTGTGGAGTCTAATTTGCTGAAATGATAACTAACAACAAATACGTTATAGAAAAAGCAAAGTTATGTTTATGGTAGAACAGACACTGGGCCGCTGTTACCCATGGGGATCCTCAAATGTACCCATGACACACAAAACACTGACTTTATTATGAAAGAAAATAGGCAAAAAATACTCAAATTCAATAAAAAGAGGTGCGTCTTACTCGTTCATCGTCGTTATAAAATGCTGTATTGATTATGAGTCACTGAGACACATGATAGAGTATCAGTTGAACAAAAATAAGACTTTTTTTTTTAACAAAACACAGCAGAATTTTCATAATATGAAATAGAAAAAGCAATTTGTATTTTTGCCTAGTGTAGTTATGATATCTAGTATGGATTGGAATCACTAGCAGAAGGGCTACAACTAGCAAGAATGTTAACAAGTAATGATGCCCTTTGCTTTAGGCTATTATCTGCAGGTTTAATGAAAATAGCCTAGAAATAATGACTTATAAGAGGTATGATTTCCATGGAATAATCTAATTTCTGACGGACCCTCTTCCTCTCCACAGGATTATGAAATGTTTTCGGACGCGGTGGAAGACGATACAATGGACCAGTTTCTGAAGATGGCATGAGGAAGGCGACATTTCATTCTCCATCTTAACCCCTCTCCCCCCAAACACCCTTTATCCAGTCTCTCTCTCTCTGTCTCTCTGCACCACTGGCAGTATCCTCTCACTATCAATGCCATAAAGAAGAATGCCAAATATCCTAACCAATCAGAAGACACACATTCCCCGTGCTGCACCATTAGACTCTTAATCAGTCTGCTCCTTTTCTTGTGATTTCTTTCAGATATTTTCCCTGTCTGACAGACTATAGTGTTCAAATCAATGGGGTGTGTAAACATGCGGTAATTAAGGCGACTAATCTCGGCCGCAGCCACATGATCGCTGGAGATTAGAGTAATCCGTAGGATGACAACGTTCAACCCAGAATCTTCCTGAATCCTCCGCAGAACAAACTCAATTTGATCACTCAGTCTTAACTACTTTGTCGTATTTTTCCCGTAGCCTTCACGTTCCCATGTCTGTACGCTATTTGTACTTCACATGGATGCAAAATGCACACAGAAGTAGCAAGGACCGTGATGTCCTCAAATCTGAATAATGATGAGGGTGATAGCAGCTGTTAGGCTGTGAAGCTTTTTGTAATTTTGGTCCATTGGTCACCTTATGTCATAACAAGACGTCTGTTTAGTAGCGGGCGCCTGGCTTCAGTTGGATACTTCGACAAATATAAAAAATACTTATTACTAGTTTAATGACGCCCCTAATAAGCACTTATCTCAGACACATTAATGGTATCCTGTTAATTTGTTGTGTAAACAAACTAAAGTTACATTCAGACGCATGTTTCCTTAATGTTTAGAAATAAAAGAACGAATATTTATGCATTGTTTACATCCGTCTTGGCTAGCATGACGTTTCTCTTTTTAAAAGGATCCCTTTTGGAAATGTCTCACAAAGATAAAGACCTAATAACATGTGACACTTACACATGGTGGGAGTTTAAAAAGCTGATTAAAGTTGTGTATGTATCTACATTGTACTACAGAGACAAATGAGGTATTCCACCTGAGGTGATATAGTAAGATTTACAGGAAGTAGAATAGCTAGATTAAAAAGTCAAATCTGTTTTCATGGATAAAAAATAACCAACTTTCATCAAATCGGACCTATGGTTTTAACATAATCCTGCTGAAAAACCAAATACATAACTACCTTGCTAGTGGTTATACATAACATATGAAAAATCCAAATAATAAGAGTTGTTGGTTTTCAAATCAGATGTTTAATCTGGAAACCAAACACTCTTTAGACATATCAGAATTGTCACCAATGGGCCAAAGTTATGAAAAAGGTTAGTAATTTGTAAGTAAAAGGTCCCACAGCATTTCAGTATTTAGCTGCTTCGTTTAAATAAAGCAGATGAACGCGTCGTAATTTCACATTTGGTGCCAATACATATCTGTAATGCGCTTTGAAGGTGGATTTCCTCTGTAGTATTAGCACTTACCTGGCATTTCCCCTCTCTTTTCCATGATCTGTGTAACATGGAAGCTTTGTTACCGGCACCAATAGGAGCTCTGTATCGCTGACTGAAAAACCACAACATTTTGACTGAAAAGAAAGCTTTGAAACACGTAGCTTTACATTCCTGTGTTTATTTTTACGTTACAGTTTGGATGAGGCGTGAAGATGCAGAAATGTGACTATGCACCAAAACCCTGCCTCACTCTGAACACACACACATACAGGTCAAAGTGTTTAAATAAAGTCTTACTAACCTTTGGGAACAATTACCACATGGGAAAAATGAAGGCTTCTCGTATTTGCTCTGTGCATTCACTCAGTTTTATTTTCATGTTTTGGGTTGCTTGTCTTTTACCAAAAATTGAAAACAAGATGGTTTTCCCTCTCTTTCGCTTCTTATCTGTCAAACCCCCCGCGTCCCATGCTTTCAGAATTGTGTTTCTATACAGTTTGGGATCCCTTGTAACGACGGCCTTCACACACACTGTTTGTGCACTGTTTTGTAAGTCGGTGGTTGTGGACGTTTGCCTGTTATTGATGTTTCTTCACTATGAATCATGTTTAAGACATTCCATGTGTCTCTCTCTGAGCTCCTGCTTTTTGCTTTTTGGACCAAACTCCCCTTGGCCAAAAGAAAATCGGGAATACAAATGCTGTTGTCTTCCGAGAAGATTGTGAAAGTGATTTATGGGTGGAAAAAATTAATAAAAAGGAGTTGAATCTACTTGTCTGGATTTCTTTTTTAAAATTCATCCATCAGCCTGTGCAGACAAGTCAACATGTCGAATATATCCTTGGGCAAGATACTGAACCCTGAGTTGCTCTGTGTGTGTGTGTGTGTGTGTGTGTGTGTGTGTGTGTGTGTGTGTGTGTGTGTGTGTGTGTGTGTGAGAATGTTAGCTTCCCTAGAGCAATAGCACTGCTCTGCATGAATGAGGTGTGAATGGGTGAATGACTCGTATGTAAAGCACTTTGAGGGGTTGTAAAGACTGGATAAAGCACTGTATAAGTAAAGTCCATTTACCATTTATACCTGAAGATTTGAAGCCATAATCCGCTCTGGCATCTCGGAAGTCTGATCCAATGATACTTAATTATAACGTGTCATTACCTATTCATAGTGTTCCTATTAATAGGGAATTTTACAGTATCGTGCGGGGACATTTGCTGATTCACCAGAGGGTCATTTTTAATTTGCAACGCAGTGGAAAATTATGATAGTGCCTATAAATATTCCATGATCTGCAGTGTCCGTACATTCATAGCAATGTTGGGTAAGCCACATAATGACTATACAGACATTATCATTAATCGGTTCTCTATAGCGATAAAGTATGACATTAAGTACATACAGATCTAGTTTGCTGTGTTTGTGAATTGCTTAATTCAACAATATCTTTTAAGTTGAATTATTTTGAGTCTCCTCAATGAAAAACCAATTAAGAAAGAACACATTTAACAATGTTTGAATAATTATTTCACCAAAAAGAGTTTTCTTGTTTTTTACAAGTTGTTATTATTATAAACGTATTTCTTCACCTTTTGATATATATTTGTTTCCATATGTTTCTCTAAAATGATTATTTAATATGAGATAAGTCAAGTAATACATTTATTAAAGTCGCATAACAATTATCAGTAATTAGGAAATCATAGCAAATGGCCTCACATGAAAAACCCTATGCTTTTGCTCAGATGCAGTACCTCGTGTGTTCGTTAGGTGGAGCTGATAAACCGTATTAGTCTTCTACCTTTGCAGATGAAGAAGACGAAGAAGAAATTAGTCACGCTAAAGAGATTCAACAGGAAATGTGGATCCGACTTCAAAATAAAAGCAGACATTATGGCATATCAGACACAAAGTTGCATATTATCCCCTTTTGCTTAGAATATGATTCACAAATATTACTCTGCTTAAACATGTACATAGTAATGGATAAAGGAAAGCCTATAGGCCACGCCCACATCATAACTTTGTCCTATCAAACGAGATCATGATAAAAGCTGTGGATATCATTATTTCCCCAAAATCTGTAGATGAAGAAGTCACTGGGAAATATGTATTATTGCACAAGGTTGTGAATCAGATATAACTATTCATTATTTACTTAAAAAAACTGAAAAAGACTCACAACTCCGAATAAGCCTCGCCGTGTGTGTTTTATTTTGAAATCCCCTACCGGATGCTGCGTTGTTGAAGAGCTTTGAAAAGGGCAAAACATTTGTCCAAAGAAGGAAGCTGTAAAACATTGACAGGTTCTGCTGAGGTAAGGTAAATTAACATTTTATATGAGAGGCATTGGTGTTACAATTAAAGGATACAATCACTACGCTGGTGTTTGCAAAATGTACTTTGTTATTTCTGTCATTGTCGTTACTGTGCGACTACCAAGAGCAGCTAATTCATAGGTTAGCTAGCTAAGCTAAGCTATCTGACACAATGTTTTGAAGCGATATTAAAGCTTAATTGAAGCCCTTTCTCTTGATATACATTAACGGAATACAAGCAAAAGACATGGAAGCTTATGTTTAGCTAATTTTATTGTTTTTAACACTTTAATAATGTTGTCAGCTGTCATATTTAGCTGCCTCTGTTTGGTGTTTATGTTAGCAGCAGGTGTTGTTTTGCTTTTCGGCTAAGGAAACGCTGCATTAAGTTGAACAGATTCACTTTTCCTACCATTTTTGAGTTGCTTTGGTCAAGTTTTCTCTCATGTTCGTGCATCAGGTACTCCAAGAAGCACCTTTTCATTCAAACGTGAGAGGATGATACGAAGTATACGTCACACTGGATACAAACACAGCTAATGTTTAGCTAATTAACATAACCATTTTTTTTAACATTACATGTCACTTGTTAGACGCTTTTATCCAAAGCCACTTACATACTCAATACTGTGGGCAATCCCCACAGGAGCAATTTGGGGTTTTGTTTAATCTTATGATCTACTGTTGATTCACAACTAATTGTCCCCACCTACTCACTGTAAAAGTATGTCTATGCCGGTTTTTTTTTTAAGGTGCTTAAGTTTTGACATATATTCTTCCTCCATCCCAATTCAATAGTGGTGAAAGAAATGTCGTTTGAGATGTTCTATGAATTATGAGTTTAGGCCAGGCACTCTCACTACAAAGCATGCACGTTTCATACACGTTGGAACAAACTCATCTGAAGTTAACACAACTCAGTTTAAGTTATCATAATAAAAGTATCTCATTCTAGAAACATCCATCTTACTCTGAATGTGTCCTGTATAATTATTGCCACTTTTTTAATTGAATTTAGCTCTCCTGAAAAACATGTAGGAAGGGTTCAAAGTAAAGTTAAGTTGTGATAATAGGATGCACAGAAGTTACAGACTGAAGACTTTTCTTTTTGCCGCTGCTTTTAATTGAACTATTCACATCTTACACTGCACTGTAACTTTTATTCATGTACCTGTGTTATTCATGTTTTATTAACTTTGCTTTTTAATGTTTCTAATGTGTTTAATGCTCTTAATGTCTTTCACTGTTGTACTGTTATGATTATTACTGTTGTGTAGCACTTTGAATTGCCATGTTTACAGTACATGTTACTTGTTAGACGCTTTTATCCAAAGCGACTTACATACTCAATACTGTGGGCAATCCCCACAGGAGCAATTTGGGGTGAAGTGTCTCAGGGACACAACGACATGCTGACTGCAGTGGGGTTTGAACCTGTTGACCCCCTGATCCCAACACCAACGCATTAACCCACTGCGCCACACGCCTCCCAGCGTGTGATGAAAAGTGCTACGTAAATAAACTTGCCTTGCCTTGGGAATATGATCAGCTTTTATTAATTGTTTTTCTTCTTCTCCCCCTTGTAGCCACATGTGAAGATGAGCGTCCCAGACTACATGCAGTGTGCCGAGGACCACCAGACGGTTCTAGTAGTCGTCCAGCCGGTGGGCATCGTCCCCGAGGACCAGTTCTTCAAGATCTACAAACGCATCTCCAGCGTGAGCCAGGTGAACATCAGGGACTCTCAGCGGCTCCTCTACATCCGCTACCGCCACCACTACCTGCCCGAAAACAACGAGTGGGGGGACTTCCAGACGCATCGTAAAGTAGTGGGTCTCATCTCCATCACCACGTGCGGTTCTACCAAAGAATGGCCTCAAACTGCGGAGCGTTTCCACGGGCAGAAGGAGGTGTACAGCTCCACTCTCTACGACTCGCGGCTGCTGGTGTTCGGGCTCCAGGGAGACATCGCAGAGCAGCAGAGGACAGACGTGGCCTTCTACCCCAGCTTTGAAGACTGCCCCGACGTGGAGAAGAGGGTGGATGACTTTGTGGAGTCCATCTTTATTGTGTTGGAGTCCAAGAGGCTCGACCGGGCCACAGACAAGTCCGGTGACAAGACCCCTCTGCTCTGTGTGCCCTTTGAGAAGAAGGACTTTGTGGGTTTGGACACGGATAGCAGGTGAGTTGTTATGTTTGCTACAACCTCTTATACTTTACTAAAGTGCCATAGCATTTTAAAGGCTAGTTAAAGAATTTCTTCACCTACAAATTATTATTCTAAGAGAACTGTTTTTGTTTTTCCTTCTTGCTTGTTTTCAAAGTTAAAGGTAGGGTAGGTAAGAATGGAGAAACCAGCTCGAGTGCGCTAGAATTTGAAAGTACGCAGTCGAAAAAAATCTGCCCCTTCCTTCAGACTTCCTTACAGAGTTCCTCCTCCAACACACACGAACGCGCACATGACCTATAGAGAGGTGAAGTCCCTCCCTTTCCTCCATGGGACCTTATTTCTGAAAAAGTATGTATTGAAGTCAATGGAGAGAGAAAGATTATCTCTCGATCCCGTTTGAATTGTGCCACGAATTACACATATGATGTTTGTCAATTTAAAAGATAATTTTGCAAGTCAAAAAAATTAAAATGTGTCGTAAAACTGTGAAGTAACACTTTTTTTGTGTGAAAGCGCTCAATGAACTCCATCTCCCGTCTCGCACCACACACCAAGACGGCCGTCACGTTGGCACGTTTCACTTCTTTCTTTCAGAATGAGGCGGAAAGTATTAAAAGAGGTGAAAATCACTCCAAGTCTGGGCATGTTGAGAGCTGTACATACACACAAGGGGAGTTAGTCGGTTCCTAAGAGCCAGCATGCGGGACCGGGACTCTGGGATTTGTAGTCTTTCTAGTTGCGTATTTTCATAGTCTTATATTTCAACAGTTTTACGACAAACTGTGACTTTTTTGACATGGAAATAATTTTTTAAGCTTGACAAACATCATATGTGTAATTCATGGCACAATTCAAACGGGATCGAGAGATAATCTTTCTCTCTCCATTGACTTCAATACATACTTTTTCAGAAATAAGGTCCCATGGGTCGGAAGTAGAAGGGCGGGACTTCGCCTCTCTATGAGGGCACGAGATAAGTTTGTGCACAGATGGAAGGCTGACAGGCAGGTAGGCCATCCAGTTATCTGCCGCGGGCCGGCTCAGATGATTGGTCGTGCTTTTCACAGTACCACGGCTTCCACAGATGATATTTTGTTATGTATTTATTGTCAAAGCATTTCATATATTCATTGCTATCGGGATGTTAAGAGCATTCCATGGAATATAACAAGTGTTTCTGAAGTGAATTACCTACCCTACCTTTAATAGGAAGGGTAAGATTATTAAATGTATAATCTTGTGGATGAAATATTCCTTCAGACGTGGTAGATTGTTGATATTCTACATGATGTGCAAGTTGTTACTTCATTTGTTTCTGTGTCAATTTGCTTTAACATCAGTCTTGCTCAAAAACTCTCCTCTCTAAAATCTGTCCTCTGATTTTTGCCATGTTCATTTATGGTTTGTTGTCACTTTGGTTTATTTGTCTTTCTTCTTTTTTTTTTCTCTCATACTGTCCTGTGAGTTTATTGTTGGGTGTGAAAAGGTGAGACGTTAGACTCGTACGTTTAGTTTCCCCGATCCCCTCAGCTTCAGCTCTGAAAGGAAACGCCACCTCTGTGCTGTTGTGTGTTTTACTCAGGACTCCAGGCCAAACTCATCGCTGCTCCGCACGTTGCTATCGATACACATCTGAAAAAAATCCCCATCGCTGTTAGCACAAATAGTCCAGCTCTAACAGTAGCTCCTAAAATAAAAAATTAATGACATCCCGCTATATTAAAGGAGATCGCTGATTTGCCGTACTACATTACACTTTAGCGCACTAGTTGTACGTAATGTTATATCTGCGATCTTTAGTTTCTTATTTGAAGAAAAGCTCACATTTTTTAATTTTCTAAATAGTATTTTTCCTAATAATTCAAAAGGGTAAACTGAATTATTAGGAATACATATGTTGAATTGTTTGCAGTCAAGACAATTTAGCATTTGTCCATATTGTGCTAACTGCTGTGCACCGACTAAAATACTATGTTACGTTAGCAGTTAACTGGAAGTGCATGAATTCAATCTGTACTTTTCTTACAATCTGTTTCAAAATGCCAGTTATTTCCAGATAACGTTTTGGGTAGGGATGCTCCGATCGCCAATTTTGGGGCCGATTGCCGTAATCAGTATCGGCCGATCGAGTGGGCGGGGCCTATGGGGATCTTCCATTTAAAGTGATGTTTGATAAAAATCAGTTAATGCTCATTCTCTGGCGCTTCCACAAACAACGACGAACATCATTATTACATTCAAATGAAGTATATTATTCAAGTTTACATTAACTTTGGGGAGAGGAGAAAAATGAGAGAAAGGAGAGGAAACGAAGAGGAGAGAGAGAGAGAGAGGCAGGAGAAAAAAAAGAAGAGACAAGAGAAAGAAAAAAGAGAGAGAGAGAGAGAGAGAGAGAAAAAAAGAGAGAGAGGAAAAAAAGAGAGGAGAGAGAGAGAGGAGGAGAGAAGAAGAAGAAGAAGAAGAGAGAGGAGAGAGAGAGAGAGAGAAAAAGAGAGAGAGAGGAGAGAGAGAGGAGGAAGAAGACAGAAGAGAGAGAGAGAGAGAGAGAGAAAAAAAAAGAGACGAGAGAGAGATAAAGAAGAGAAGAGAGAGAGAAAAAGAAGAGAGAGAAAGAGAGAGAGAGAAAAAAAGAGAGAAAAACAAGAGAGAGAGAGAGAGGGATAGGGAGAGAGAGAGAGACGAGAGAGAGAAGAGAGTAGAGAGAGAGAAAAAAAGAAGAGAGAAGAGAAGAGAAGAGGACGATAGAAAAAGCGAGATAGAGAGAATAGCAGATATAGTAATATCGCTATATATATCTCTTGTCTCTGTCTCCTATGTATCTGTCTCTCTCTCTCTCCTCTCCTCTCTCTCCCCCCTCTCTCTCCCTCTCTCTCTCTCTCTCTCTCTCTCTCTCTCTATCTCTCTCTCCCTCTCTCTCTCTCTCTCTCTCTCTCTCTCTCTCTCTCTCTGTCTCTGTCTCTGTCTCTGTCTCTCTCTGTCTCTGTCTCTGTCTCTGTCTCTCCCCTCTCTCTCTCCCCTGACAGCCCGTCAGTATCTCCTGCAGCTCACTGATCCAGTAATGAGTGACCCGACAGTGAAGAATAAATATATGTACTAGTTCAGCTTGCTCCAGAGGTAGATCAAATGGCTAAGTGTGTTAGGTCTAACTCTTAATGTGTGTTCTGCTCCGCTCACCGGTCCGTCACAGCGGGTGGAGCTGCAGGATTTCTGCTTCACACACACGTTGCTTACCGCTATTTTACTGTCTTTTTCGGACACCTTAAAATACTGCCAGACCAGTGAAGCCATTTTGGCGAGCTTGTTTTGCCGCGCACAGAGAAAAGTGTCATGTATTTTACGTCATGTGATCGGCTCTCACGATCGGCCTTTATAGAGAGCACCGGTCGATCGGCAGAGAGTGAATATCGGCGGCCGATCAATCGGAGCATCCCTAGTTTTGGAAATGATTAGGGCATTGTTGTTAAATAAAGTGTTACCTGAAGCTCTAAACTAAACATGCATTTTAGGCAAGTAAATATTTTGTGCAGTTTTTTTCCGGTAAAGCCGTCACTTTTAGTTAAATGTCCCAAGTCTCTGCATTAGGAAATTAACATAAATAAATAACTTGGCCACATTTGCCATTTAAAAAAAACAAGTAAAAGGAAAAAATCTTCAACACTGTATTTTGAAATTAAGCAATATTTCCTTTTAATATTTATTTGCACAAACATAGAACAAATGCTGGTAAAGTCTCTGGCTGGTATCTCTGCCCTTTTTTATATAGATGAGAACATAGTGTCCATTGCTTCCCCCCCCCCCCCCCGAGTCCTGCTGATTGTCTTCACATGACCTTCCCAGTTTTTCAGAACATCTCAAATGTCCTGCACAAAGGGGCCTGGTTTCCTTTCCCCTTTCTCCATGTGAAGCGGTCCCTCCTGACTCCATGTGTTATCGTGCAGAACTAGAGAGTCGCTCGTAGCTCGGCTCGTCCTCTCTCCTTGTTTTGTTGCTCCTTTTGCTTTTGCTCTCCCACCCTTATAGCCCCTCTGTAGCTGACTGATAAGATTCACTAAAACCTCCTCTCCTGGGGACCTGGGGGCAATAGAAGTGAAAAGCCATGAACTTATATATAGTTTTTGAGCTACACCAGGGGTGTCCAAACTCCTTTCACCGAGGGCCACATACAGAAAAGTATACGAAGGGCTGGGCCACTCACTAGAGGTTTACTGCCTCATAAGTTCAGTTATAAGTGAACAAATCAGTCAAATGTAGGTAAATTACACTTAATACTTGAATATGCTTTAAGAAAACAAACACAGCTCTCCAGAGGGTTTCATTTATTGTGTTGGCAGCTCATTCCTTAAAACAGAAGCTTCAGATTGATTATAATAAGAGGAAATATGAACGGTATATTTCAAGGTTGTTATGTACATTTGTTATTGGGCTTTTTTCTTATCAACTTAATTTGTTAGAACATGTTTTCAACTTGAATTGACTGAATTCATTAGAACATTGGGCCTATTAATACATGAATACTGTGTAATGTATATATTTTAACATGTACAATATAAGACAAGCAAAAGTTTATTATACTTAAGTCATTATACTTTTTTAATTGGCTGAGTGAGGGCCGATTCAAAATAGTCCGCTGGCCGCATTTGGCCCCCGGGCCGTAGTTTGGACACCCCTGAGCTACACTTTTCATCTCACTGTTGTCTGACAAAGTGTTTCTCCTGCTGCTGTCTCTCAGGCATTATAAGAAGCGGTGCCAGGGCCGGATGAGGAAGCACGTCGGGGACCTGTGTCTCCAGGCGGGCATGCTGCAGGACGCCCTGGTCCACTACCACATGTCTGTGGAGCTGCTCCGGGGGGTCAACGACTTCCTGTGGCTGGGGGGTGAGTCCGCAGAACGCCAGGGTATCACTGTGAGATGATTTGTAAAGCTAGAGGTGGTTTATCTCTTAGCCAGAGGTGGGAAGTAGTGGAGTACAAATACTTCGTTACTGTACTTAAGTACATTTTTCTGGTATCAGTACTTTACTCCACTACTTATTTTCCTGACGACTTTTTACTTTGACTTCTTACATTTTGAACACAAATACCTGAACTTTCTACTTCTTACATGTTGAACACAAATACCTGTACTTTCTACTTCTTACATTTTGAACCCAAATACCTGTACTTTCTACTTCTTACATTTTGAACACAAATACCTGTACTTTCTACTTCTTACATTTTGAACACAAATACCTGTACTTTCTACTTCTTACATTTTGAACCCAAATACCTGTACTTTCTACTTCTTACATGTTGAACACAAATACCTGTACTTTCTACTTCTTACATGTTGAACACAAATACCTGTACTTTCTACTTCTCACATGTTGAACACAAATACCTGTACTTTCTACTTCTCACATGTTGAACACAAATACCTGTACTTTCTACTTCTTACATGTTGAACACAAATACCTGTACTTTCTACTTCTTACATGTTGAACACAAATACCTGTACTTTCTACTTCTTACATTTTGAACCCAAATACCTGTACTTTCTACTTCTTACATGTTGAACACAAATACCTGTACTTTCTACTTCTTACATGTTGAACACAAATACCTGTACTTTCTACTTCTTACATGTTGAACACTAATACCTGTACTTTCTACTTCTTACATGTTGAACACTAATACCTGTACTTTCTACTTCTTACATGTTGAACACAAATACCTGTACTTTCTACTTCTTACATTTTGAACACTAATACCTGTACTTTCTACTTCTTACATGTTGAACACAAATACCTGTACTTTCTACTTCTTACATTTTGAACCCAAATACCTGTACTTTCTACTTCTTACATGTTGAACACAAATACCTGTACTTTCTACTTCTTACATGTTGAACACAAATACCTGTACTTTCTACTTCTTACATGTTGAACACTAATACCTGTACTTTCTACTTCTTACATGTTGAACACAAATACCTGTACTTTCTACTTCTTACATGTTGAACACAAATACCTGTACTTTCTACTTCTTACATGTTGAACACTAATACCTGTACTTTCTACTTCTTACATTTTGAACACTAATACCTGTACTTTCTACTTCTTACATGTTGAACACAAATACCTGTACTTTCTACTTCTTACATGTTGAACACTAATACCTGTACTTTCTACTTCTTACATGTTGAACACAAATACCTGTACTTTCTACTTCTTACATGTTGAACACAAATACCTGTACTTTCTACTTCTTACATGTTGAACACAAATACCTGTACTTTCTACTTCTTACATGTTGAACACTAATACCTGTACTTTCTACTTCTTACATGTTGAACCCAAATACCTGTACTTTCTACTTCTTACATGTTGAACCCAAATACCTGTACTTTCTACTTCTTACATGTTGAACCCAAATACCTGTACTTTCTACTTCTCACATTTCCCAAACAGGCTGGTTCCTTTAGTTTGAATGTGTGTTTGGTGGCGTGATCATTATTATTTAGAGTCATTGCGTGCCTATTGATTTGAACACGATCCGTGTATCCATCATTTCCTGGTCTTCTCTAAAGAAGAGGGACCAATGAAAACGTTGTCATGTTGCCGTTGTTCAGCATGGAAACATTCATTAGCTAACAATGACATTATTGTTCTATTAATATAAAGGGAGGTCAGGTACTCTTTAAAACAGCTGCTAGTTATGGGTACTTTTTACTGAAGTACATTTCAAAGCCTCTTTACTTTTACTTGAGTAAAGAAGTTTAGTCAGTACTTCTACTTTCACCAGAGTATTTTTAAACACGAGTATCTGTACTTCTACTTGAGTAAAGGATGCGTGTACTTCTGCCATCTCTGGTGTTAGCTTACATCTCCTTGAAATTCGTTAGTCTGACTGATACTGGAATTTTGACGTCATCTGAACAGGACATCGCACGCTCACTGCTTGATAGCGCGCGAAGGTCCGTTTACGCCGGTTGTTAAACAACATCGTTACGGGGAAATGCAAGTTTGCGTCCAAATGGTTGGACGATAAGGAGGAAGGACAATCAATATTGAATATAGTCAATGTTTCGCCAATGTAACCGCTTCCTGCATATACCCTGTCTCTGGTCAACAAACTGTAAAATGTTGTCACAGTTTTGATAGTAGAAACTATTTTTTCTTCTCTTTTTTACTTCCTGTTCCCTCGTAGCCGCGTTGGAGGGTTTGTGTTCAGCCTCGGTCATATTCCATTACCCAGGAGGCACGGCGGGGAAGAAAGCGGGACGCAAGCCGAGCGTCTCTCAGCCGGCTGACAGCGGGAAACGCCACCGACCAGGTGAGCACCGCCGAGAATCAAACTGTGCTCTGGATGGATTATTATTATAATAATAGTGACATAAGGCTTTTACTGTCTGAATTGTAATTAAGTGAATGTCGCTGCTGACTGGCAACTCAAACACTGCCAAGCTTTGCTAAGCTAAGCTTTGTCCTTCATGTGCAGAGAAGAAACCGGCAGAGAACTGAAACCTGAAGCTTCTCTTACTTACACTGATGACTAATTTAATTCAAACTAAACATCATTGAACCTGTCTCTACTTGTGTAATTAACATGCTATTAACATGGTGTTGTATTAACACTGCCTTGTGCTTAACCACACAATCAGAAGTACAAGCATTGATAGCAACTTATTAACGCATATATTTACGTATTACTGTAGTGTTTAATGCATAGTTTACACATTAGGAAACATGTCTTGATTGCTCATGTTGGTCATCTTGCCTATTTTGTATAGAAAGCTTTGCACTACTCGCTTTGCTCAACCAATGCAGCCTAAGTTAGCTTCGTTTAACTAACGTTATCCAAAGAGTAAACTAGGCTTGATTACCACCAATCTTCTGTACATTCATATATAGATTTTATGTAAAGCGTCTTTGAGCATTAGGAAAAGCGCTATTCAAATCCCATGTATTATTATTATTATTATTATTATTATTATTATTATTATTATTATTATTATTATTATTATTATGTATAGATAAGAGTAACACCTACGTCACTTCCGGGCGAAAATTACGGCCCCGCCCACTTTGGGGGAAAACAACGCTGTCATTTGAATGTCTGTCAATACAAATTCTGAAGTTTTTGCCAATCCGATCAGAAATGTAAGAAAACCGTGGATTTTCTGATCTTCAAAGAGCCTGATTACGATGGCCAGTCAGGCAAACAATTACATTACATCATTTGAAATCATCGATATATGGTTAAATTAAAATCAGTAGGCGAGGCTGTAATTTTCACCGGCTGTTACTCTCATGAGCGAGGTGGAAAATAATAGTTGTATCACGCCAACAAGCTGCTGTGTCGTTTATTGCTCCTCAAACATTAAAACAAATCCAGAGTTCAGTGTTTCTGAACTTCCTCTAAGAAGAAAGGACAGTAACAGAAGAGCTCTGTGGCTTCAGGCTTCATCGCCATTCAAATGACAGCGTTGTTTCCCCCAAAAGTGGGCGGGGCCGTAAAGTGACGTAGGTGTTACTCTCATCTATGGACATCGATCGCCTACTGCTATGTTTAACCATATATCGAGCCCGATCGTCGATTTCAAATGATTTCATGTAATTGTTTGCCTGTCTGGTCATTGTAATGTTACCTTGGTTGCTGATTGGCTAATGGTTACACAAGCCAAAGCATCGTTATGACATCATAAAGTGTCCAAAATCTGATCAGCTCATTTTCAGACAGGTTTTTATAGAAATGGATCAGGACAAAAAGAGAGAGAATCTTTGTTCCTGAAACTTTCAGAGTCTCTTTACACAGAGGGGACACATGTTGAAGAAGAGGGGACACATGTTGATGAAGAAGAGACATGAAGAAGAGGGGACACATGTTGATGTAGAAGAGACATGAAGAAGAGGGGACACATGTTGATGTAGAAGAGACATGAAGAAGAGGGGACACATGTTGATGTAGAAGAGACATGAAGAAGAGGGGACACATGTTGATGTAGAAGAGACATGAAGAAGAGGGGACACATGTTGATGTAGAAGAGACATGAAGAAGAGGGGACACATGTTGATGTAGAAGAGACATGAAGAAGAGGGGACACATGTTGATGTAGAAGAGACATGAAGAAGAGGGGACACATGGTGATGTAGAAGAGACATGAAGAAGAGGGGACACATGTTGATGTAGAAGAGACATGAAGAAGAGGGGACACATGGTGATGTAGAAGAGACATGAAGAAGAGGGGACACATGGTGATGTAGAAGAGACATGAAGAAGAGGGGACACATGTTGATGTAGAAGAGACATGAAGAAGAGGGGACACATGGTGATGTAGAAGAGACATGAAGAAGAGGGGACACATGTTGATGTAGCAGAGACATGAACAAGTAGATTTTGCATAATAGGTGACCTTTAAATCCGAGTCCGTTGCATGCCAAGAGTTTATCTCATTCTTATCTTAAGTGTATTTTAGAGTTGATCAGCAGCATGTTGTTGGGACTAACCCTGCTAACTGCGCCTTGCGTCATGGAGTGAATCTGCATTTCTCTCTCTGTCTGTAGGGGCTCAGGAGGTTCTCATTGACCCAGGTACAGTATCTAACCTCCTGTAGAAACGTCTGTTTGCTTGCAGTCATGTGATTTCATTTCTCATCCTCCATCATCAGCTTCCTGACTCCTATGGTTTTATTTTTTACTTTGAATGTTGATTGTTTTTCCCCTCAGGTAGTGTTCTCCTGTGTTAGTTTACCTGCTCTTTCTCACAGCCAATTGTTCAGTATTACACGATTGAAGTGCTCACTTTTATTCCTAATTTCATTTTATACAAATTCCCTCTCACACACAAACTAGGGATGCCAGAAACTGACCATGATCAAATTCGAAAATCGGACAGCCCTGGCGAATATTAATCGATTATTTGCCGCCCCCTGACGGAGAAGGGGGGGGGGGGGGGGTGGGGTCGGTGTGAAGCAGGCTGCAGCAGTCTGCACTCTGCGCAGCCTGCGTTGCTGGCTTCCTCCAAGTTTACAGTAAAACAAACTGGTGGTGTGACCAATGGCCATTTACAATTATTAATACTATTACTATTATTAGCATTAGTCTATATTTAGGTTGAAACTAAGCCAGGAAAAAAAAGAAAAACATAAATAATAATAAAAGAATATATAAATAAAATCGAATTTTAAAAATAATCTTCGATTATGGAGACTGTAACGAAAAATCGAATAATCGCTGGCATCCCTAACACAAACACGTAACCCTATTTAAATACAATCCCAGTATATTAAACCTTTTGAATCACTGTCACTTAACCTCTCATTCTTATATCCTAAGACAAATAAGTCACATTATTTATTTTCTATAACTTTATCGCTTCAATTATTTCCTCAAGTGTTTTTGTTTTTTGTTGTGTAGCAAATCGGCCTACTATGAGGTCCATCGCATTATACACATGTTTGTCATATTGACAGTGCGACAGTGTTGCTATGGACACAACCCCGTTGCTAAGTGATGCAATTAAGTATTCTTTTTAAATTTGGAATTTGGAAGAGATGCACGTTGACATTGCTTTTGAAAAAAATAAATGGGCGCGAGTTGAAGTCTTTACAGAATGTTAGGCATAAACACAATTACATATAAGAGACTTAAAATACTTCTGTAAGGGTTTTTGGGTAAATTTAACATTTAATTTGAAAGTGGATCTTAGTGGGCATCAGAGCAGGATTAAACACATTTTTTTAAGACATATTAATTTGACATTATCTGTTATTTCTTTCAATATGTTAACAATCCCAATCCTGTGTGCTGAGTTGTATTTGTTTTTATTGTATGTCTAAATGTTATTTTTTAAATGTGTAGTCTTGGTAGAGCTCAAAGATATCCAAATCTACAATCATATTCCTGTGAAAAACATCTTTTTTGATATATACATGCACTCAGTGGCCAGTTTATTAGCTACACCTGTATCATTTAGTTCAAACCTATATAAGAAATGACACTAATATTACATTTTTGACATTGTGATGAAGGGGTTATTATATGTTAATCATTGAGATCGTAGTTAGTGGTGGTTAGAAACGGCATTACATGTTATTAGGGGTGTTTCTAATGTTATCCCTGGTGTATATACAAAGGGAGGACAAATAATAAAAAAACACCTCTCAAAATAATGTAGTCCAGTACAACACCACTGCGAACTCCAACCTAAAAAAATATGCTTATAATAAACCCATTTGGTCGATTTGAAAACGGAGAATTATACACTTTGTAAAGCTAACGTTTATAGTAGAGTTGTTGTATTTAAATTGCCCAGGAGTGCACAGTAAAGTGGCCGCTGAGTGTTTTATACGCATGCCATGTGGCGGTACCTTTAGCGAGTAAGTGGTGGATTAAAGTTTCCCCTCCTTCCTGTTTACCTTTTCTTTTTGTGGCGGAAAAGACCCAACTTTTTTCTCTGAATTTATCGTATTCTTTCTCCTCTTTCTGAGCGCAGGCGCCCTCACAGCGAATGGCATCAGTGCGGACACGAGCACTGAGATCGGACGAGCCAAGAACTGCCTGAGTGCCGAGGACATCATCGAGAAATACAAGGAGGCCATCTCCTACTATGGGAAGGTAACGCCCAAAAGACTACAACACTGCTTTTTAGATTATATGGGTCATTCCAGAATTGGAGGACATTTCATGTCCCCCATATAAAAAATCTAATAATCCATGCCCAAAAAGCTAAGACATGCACTTGTTGTGTTAAATATACTTGTCTTGAGACAAGATGCATATAAAGTTGTAGAAAAAGTGGTTTCAAAATATTATTTAAAATATCAAATAGCTCTCGAACACCCCCTAAAATTGCCCTTTTCTCTTGTCCCAGCTTCTTGGTGACCAACTTGCATGTCAACTATAACATTTAAAATAGGGTTTTTATTTACTTTTTTGGTATTATTCTATTGATATGTGTCTTGTAATGGTAAAATCAATTTGTTAAATCATAAACACATTTTAAATAACAGTAATTTTGCACAGAAGGTGTGTCCCTCAACATGCGCGCAACCCTGTTACCGAAACCTTTTTAGCTTGGCAGAGGAAGTGAAAAAACGGTTTGTCGCATGACACAGTGGAAAGGACATCAGCAAGCCATGTGCTACTACCATGGGTAGACCACAACTAAGTCCTCTCTTTTATTTGTAATATATTTCCAATCTTGTCACTCTTGAAGGAGTGTGGCACTCATACAAACGCAACCCTGTTACTCAAATGATGAGACTAAAACAAATTAATTTCAAATGTATCTTTCTTTAGTTAAATATCTAAGTGTGTCCATTCCTTGACAATAGCATTACATTGTGCAGCTAGCATTAATTCCTGAGGTAAAAGCTAAAATTAGCATTGATTTTCAACCCTGTTACTATAATTAGAGTAACAGGGTTAATTCTTCATTGGAAAATATACATTTGATGCCTTAGCTGGGCAAATCACTTTTTTTGATGGTTTATTATCTGTTTTTCCTAAATACATAACAAAAAATAATAAAATGAAAGGTTCATTTTTCAAATATGTTGGTGTCTAAATTGTATTGAATGACCCGTATATGATGTGATGCTACACATGGAGCTGCTGTGATTCAAGTCAAATGTCACACTTGATCTGACCATTAAAGTATTTTCGTATCGTTTATATACTTACTGATAATATCTGGCTAATTCAAACCAAGCAAAGGTATCAGGGTTTTTTAGTGAATGTCCTAAATGTTACATTTGAAGCTTTAATTTAGGTTTTTAAATTGACACATCACCCTAGAAATGTTGATTATATAAATGTATTTTTTATGGAGCTTTCAGTTAATACAGGTGTTTGCCTCCGCCTTAATATTTTAAAAGGCCTTTTAATGCTTTTCCCTCTAGTGTGCGATGTGCATTTTTCTTATCATAATCTATTATTATTGTTGTTTTTACTTTGTTGTTGTGGGGATAAGAATTTCAACATGAATAAACTCAGCGCATTTAAATTCTTCCATATCACTCCGCTAGTTAAATAAGTGAGTTAGCGTTCAGGTTGCTTTGATACAAAAACACCACTTGTTAGCACAGATGTAGCAACATGTGATATGTGTAATACCCCTCCATGGCACCAGGGGGCAGTGTTTGCCTAGATTTGATGGATGCAGTAACAACACTACAGTACGGGTCATGCTGACGGCAGCTTTTTATTTCTATGTGGAGACTTTGAAACGCTCACGAGAGCCTGTGTAGTCTCTGGAAATGGGCAGCATTTTAGTCAGTAACAGCTAACTATTGTTAGACAAAACCGTTTGAATTATGTCTGTTAGGGCTGTGCAATTAATCAATTAATTACATTTTAATCGCAATTACGATTTTGGCCTGCCACAATTACGAAAACAACATAATCGAAAAAAACAATTATTTAGCTTTGCTAGGTTGTGACAGTGCAACATATTTGATCTAATTTCATTTTGGTCTAATTTATTTGTATTTATCATATTTATATATGTTTAGTAGCTTGTGGAAGTGCGCTCCAAAATATTTGTTGATCTTGTTTATTGGTATTTATTATTTTGATATTTATTTATTTAAATGTATCATTTATTTTTGCATTGGTTTTTCAGTTGAATTATACGTTCAGGGTAATCAACAGTTAAAAAGATACTGTTCAAATTATTATTTGTATTTGTTTTAAAGTTCAATAAATTGATTTTTTCAAAGTCAATGAATAATCGTATTTAATAATCGTGATATCAATTATTGACCCAAATAATCGTGATTATGATTTTTGCCATAATCGCACAGCCCTAATGTATGTGTTGCTGGCATAATACATTTGTACTCTCCTTTTGAGCACTGTACAAAGTCACAAAGAACAGTATTAAAGTATCTCCGATGCTTAGGGGTAAGCTGAATAGACTCATTATGCTGCTCAACTATTCAGAAGCAACCCCACGCGTTATCTTCATTATTATAATTGCCTTTTCACATTGACCTCCCTCAGCCCTTTTACCTGTAACTAGTTCAGTCAGAATTAAATTACATCTCAACACATAGCCATTCAGATATTAATTGAATTTTAATAGGCCGACAATGAGGGTGGAAGCGGAGGGAAGTTGAGGGACGACGAGATAAAAAAAAAACGCACGCATTTACACGCTGTGCAGCTTAGGTCTTTACATCCCTGAAAAACAAGCAACAGGATGCAGGTTATCTCACTCTGTCTGTCCCCCCCCCCCCCCCCCCCACATCTGCACTGACTGATGAGGATGGTCATATGTTAATGAAAAAACATCCCCCCCCCCCGATTATGAGGTGGGTGGCAGGAGTCAAGGCGACACTCATTTGGCTGTTTCATTAACCTCCTCTTATCTCTCCCGCAGTATAAGAACGCCGGTGTGATCGAGCTGGAGGCGTGCGTGAAGGCCGTCCGTGTGCTCGCCATCCAGAAGAGAGCGAGGGAGGCCTCTGAGTTCCTGCAGAACGCCGTCTACATCAATCTGGGACAGGTACGCTATGGGAGCGGGAGAAACATACTTTGACACAAACACTGGACGGATAATATGAGCTCACTGGCATACTTTAACTGGTTAATTTAAAACATGTATTCTGTTACAATTACTAGTTACCTGTAAGAAATAATAATACACTTTTAGCACCTTTCATGCAAGATGCAGCTCAAAGTGTTTACAGGGCAAGAAGAAGAATCTCACTCGTCACCGCCTTGAGTTTCAAAACAGGATATTTATTATCCTTGCAAGAATGGAAGTAGTCATCAGAGCATATGGTACTACTCTTGTAGGTAATCATGCATCCTGTCATATACACTGTTATACACTTGCTTGGGCCTTTTTTATCATGTGTATGTATATGTCCTTGAAAGAGTACATTCAGTATTTTCCCAACAAAAAGCAAGGAACGTATTAAAAAACATTCATAGGTAAATCCTAAAACCATAACACATGAACAGTGATACCACTAAAATTACCCCCACATTAAAGAGATGGGTCTCTGATTTGTCCACGGGGTCTTAAAAAGTATTCAAAGTTGATCAATCAATTTAGCGAAAATTAAGACTATTAAAAAGTATTAAACGGCATTTTCCAAGGTATTACATTTTATAGCTAGTTTTCAATAAGTATATAAATTGTCCAAAGAGGTATTCTACAGTCTGCCTGAATGTAATCATTGCGTAGGTGTGTAGTGTGATTCTGTGGAGTTTATTTACAACCCTCTCTATTTTCCTCCATACCCAAATCTCTAAAAAAGGGGCTGCAACGGATCTGATAAAAACTGATCCAAGGTTCAAGGTTCAAGGTTCAAGGTTCTTTATTGTCAATCTGACATAGCTACAGAGTAATTATGCAGTTGAAAATCTTATGTCACAGGCTTCTCCAACAATGCAACATAATAATCCAGATTTGAACACTGTCCTGACGTCAGGACGGTGGCGCTACGGCTATTGGGCCAACTCCACCAATCAGGAGGAGACAGCCACGGCCATTGCCGTTCGAAAGCGCTGGAGACGCTGTAGTACATATGCCAGGCCTGTAGGTGGTGCTGTTCTCACTGAATCTGCCCTTGCTAAAACAGAGCTAAAAAATGTCAAATTGAGCAAAATGAGGCATGGCTAAAATGCATGATCTGTTTGGTATTTTGAACAAAAAAAAGTATAAATATGCCTTATATAGGTATGGTCCTACACTATATTATTCAAATATAGCATGATAGGTCCACTTTAAATAAAAAGCAATGTTAGTTTTGTTCACAATTTGTTTAGTTAGTTTACCTTATTTTGTTCTCCAAAAGAACCGATGAGAGTACCGTTAAAAGACCGGATCGATAAGCGGTATCGATAAAAGTAGTAGTACCGTTAAAACCTTAACGATACCCATCCCTAGTCAGAGCCACTGATGCCAGTTTGTTTTTTAGCTGTGCATTTGTAATTTGAGCTCAATCTAGTGAACACATTCTTAATTATCCTCCATGTACTTAGCAGGATGTCTCGACAAATAATGATGTTTGGATGATTAAAGATCACCCCCAGATATGTTTGAAGATGCATAAAAACACTCTGCTCTGAATAATAATCTGACATGCATTTCCTCCAAAAATACATCTACTAATTTCCCCCTCATTTAAAAAAAAAAATCCAGAATCTATGAATATGCAAAAGATGTTTCTTATTCTCTGAACAGTCTTTTCTCAGTGTATGTACACTTGAGTAATGTGCATTTTAGACAACAATTGGCTATCAAACTTATTGCGATGTTATTAAATCAAGCTTATATTTCGACTACTTTACTATATGGTGAGCAGCAGAGGTGAGAAGTAACAAAGTAGAAGTCCTTAAGTATTTATATTTCTGACGACTTTTTACTTTTACTCCCTACCTTTCAACTCAAATGTCTGTGCTTTCTACTTCTTACATTTTCAAAACAGGCTTTGTTACTTTCGTTTGAATGCATGTGAGGTGAATTATCAATCATTACTTTTTACTGTGAGTCCATTTCAGAGACTGTACTTTTACTTAAAGGTCCCATGTCATGGCCATTTCTACTGATCATATTTCCATTGTTGAGGTCTACTAGAATAAATGTATATTGTGCAATTTTCCAAAATCAAAAACACATCTTGTTGGAGCTCCTACCCCCCCCATCCCTGTGAGCCCAGTGTGCTCTGATTGGTCGGGACGTCCGCTCCTCGCCGCTGCTGCGAGGAGCGGACAGGTTTCCGGGTCGGCGATACAGCGAGAACAAGCGAAACTCATCCTGAGCACACACACACTCACAGCCGAAGTAGAAACAATAAGTGTGGCTTGATATTGAGTAAGAAAAAGGTTTCTAACGCTGTGAGAATGGGTCTGCAGAGAGCATTTCTCCACCATCCCAACTCGTCTATTACCAGCGTTCAGGGAGCTCTATGCAAGTCAATGGGACTCCCTGTTAGTTAGCCAAGGGATCCTGGTGTGTGAGGTGCTCTGCTGATTGGTCCATTTGGGCCAATCCGGTCATTTGTTGTTGATGTGGGTGTTCACACGTCGCAGAACCCAGGAAGCAAATAATGGAAAATGAGAAATGTCCAACGAGGCGTTCTGGGGCAGCATAGACAGGTCTTTTCTGTGTTAGAGTTTTATTCGCTACAGGGTGTACTTTGAGGGTTTGTGACTCTGCAGACCGTTTACATGCATACAAACCTTCATGACACACAAGGGGACGGGTCATAACCGGAAAAGCATGACATGGGCCCTTTAAGTAAAAAGTTGAATCAGTACTTCTACCAAAGTTCTACTTTTAAAGTTGCCTCCATCTCTGCAGCTATCAGAGGAGGAGAAGATCCAGCGCTACAGCATCCTGTCGGAGCTCTACGAACTCATCGGCTTTCATCGCAAGTCTGCTTTCTTTAAGCGCGTGGCGGCCATGCAGTGTGTGGCCCCCACCATCCCAGAGCCCGGCTGGAGGGCCTGCTACAAGCTGCTGCTGGAGACCCTGCCCGGATACAGCCTGTCCCTGGACCCCAAGGACTTCAGCAAAGGTACAACACTTGATCATATCGCTTCTTTATTATGTGAAAGTCTGGAGATAACAGGTTTTTTTATGAATGGAAATGTTTCGTCTCGTGGCTGTTCAGCTTGTTGCATGTGGTCTATTTCAGGACTGCATCCAACAATTACTTTGATCATGGATTCTATTTTTGATTCAACGTCAGATACAAACATATTTCAGCAAAGGTAAAACCCTTGATTATATCGCTTCGTTATTATGTGAAAATCTAGAGATAATGGGTGTGTTTTGAACGTTTTTCTTTGTTTATAATTGACTTTTTATTGGCATTTAGTGTCAAACATTGTCACAGCATTATTGTACATTCCATCTTTACATGAATGACATAAATCTGTTCATATTTCTTTTCAGCAATATACACGTGATGACACAAAAAACACAGATGAGAAAATTAAATGAAACAACAGTGAACACTTATGCTGCGTTCACACTGGACGCGATGCAATGTTTGGGGGCGGCGCGATTACATGTAAAGTCAATGCAGAGATGCGGACAGACGCGAATTCGCTCCGACGGCGCGCATGAAGCGGTGGACGCGGCGCGATTGAGGCGATTGAACGGTGCCGCGTTAAACGCGAGAGTTCAATTTTTTCAACTCGAGCGTCAAATTCACGTGACGCGTTCTCGCGGAAGCCAATCAGCGGTGAGGATCTCAGCCGCCGTCACTGACGTTCAACCACACAACATCAGCCGTTAGCTGTTAGCTGTTAGCACACAGAGCTCACAGCTCCTCATATCTGTTCAGAAACTAGACAAAAGTTAAACAAGTACAAACCACAGACTGTCTGTGCCATGGCGAATACAGTCGCTGGTTTATTTCTGTCTGTAGGCCGTTGTTCTGAGTGTGGAATGAGCATATACAACGTTAGCTTAGCCTGGTCGACCCGATCTCCATTCAGAAAACAAGCATTTTAAAAGGTTTTTCGCCTGCCGTCTTGCCGATTAGAGCGAAGCGAATATTCACATCGCGTCCGGTGTGAACGCAGCATTAGGCAGTAGACATTTCTTTACAGCAGAGTTATGGATCTGTGAAAACAAATTGCAGGCCTATAGGGCTTTACAAAGTGAGTCCACTTCTCCCAGTTTGTAGTAAATTGCTCCAATTTATGATTAACAAATGCTGTTATCTTTCCCATATTGTAAATATCCATTGAGATGTCCGTCCATCCATTTAGAGTCAGGCTATCCTTCGATAACCATTTCCTGGTTAATGCCTTTTTAGCGGCGACCAGCAGAATGTTCAATAAGTATTTGTCCAAACATGTCTGTGGCAAATTCCCAAACTATAAAATCTTGATGTAATGAACCTTTTTCACATGGAAACGTTTCATCTCGTGTCAGTTCAGCATGTTGCATGTCGTCTATTTGCAGACTGCTACTAACAATTACTTTGATACTTTGCATAAGGCGACTTTTCAAAACTTACATGAAAGCATGAATCGTGGTCCCTTGGCTCAGACAGTGTAGAAGTGTAGGATAATGCATGCAGAGGGTTATTGTTTTTTTTACACTGTATTCCCATTTGATTGGATGAAATGTCCTGTACTTGTTAATATCAGAACACTCTTTTACTACAAGTCAATTCATTTAAATAGACCATGTTTTAACACAAAAAGTTAGACTAAGTGTATCCATTTTTGTGGATTCTCCCTCATATAATAAGTTCACTATTTTTAGTCTAAGACTTTTTGCAAAATGTCTGCTTAGAAGCGGATAAATGATTCTGCTGCACAGCAACAATGGCATAGTATGTGATCAATAAGTTACAAAGCATAGAGATGTCCCGCCCCTTAGCCTATCACGTACAATGTGTTGGAGCGCTAGCCAATAGGTGTGTTTATATAGTGATGTCACTATGTTAGGGAAGTAAACTAAGGAGTCCAATGGAGGTGTTTCAGGCACGGAGAGAGAAGCTTCCTCTGGAGGGAGCACAGGGATTATAGCAGACAATTGACACACTACTAATTCATGCTATCTTTGAGCATTTTAAAGAACATTTTAATGAACATTTTAATTATCCAGAATTTTGTACATTGTTGATATTGTTAATAGTGATTGATATACTATTTTTCATTTTAATTTAATTTTTAATTGTTAACTCTTTTCCACTTTTAAGTATCTGTATTTTAATGTTGAGCACACTGGTCCTGTAACAAAATAATTTCCCAATTTGTGATTAATTAAGTATCTACCTGTCTGTCTGTCTGTCTGTCTGTCTGTCTGTCTGTCTGTCTGTCTGTCTGTCTGTCTGTCTGACCGACTGAAAGGGAAACCCCAAAAAGCACAATAAGACCCCTTTAGGTGTGTCACGGGGTCAGGTAGTGCTGATTTCATATCAATAAAAAGCAATAAGTCTCATTTAATCTATATTTTTCAGAATGTGAAAGTCTCTTGCATGATCCATAGTGTGTGAGGGGCAGCGGTGTAAAGACATATTTAAGAAATGAATGGCTTCGCTCTCTTGCATTCGAGCCACCACTTTGCTTCAGGAGAGGCTGAGATGTGACCCCGTCTTTTGTGCACTTTTCGGTGAGGTCCTCCATGATAAGCCTCTCAGTTCTGCAGACTGTTGACCCTTTACTCAGAGCAGCCACTCAATGGCGTCCGCCCTCAACACAAAGACGGAGCTCGCGGCGCAGAGAGACACTCGGGGTTATCCATATTTTCTCATCCGATAGAGAGGATTCTCCTTAATGTCTGGCCTTGTTCCTTTTTATAAACTGTGAACAGAAACACCCTGCAGATTGTTGGAGGTCAAATGTTTTACACTTGACTCTGAAAGTGTGTTTTTTAGCTGGTTTTTAAGGATACTTAACACCAAAGCATGTATCTATTGATGCCCGAGGCCATACATGTGGAGCAGCAGGATTTATTTCCTCTTTATGATGCAGTAGGAGAAAACTACTTGAACTACAGTAGCCATATAATCTGATCCAAACGGTATCTATTCATTCCTTTATCCTAACATATCTTTATCAGATTCAAAATCTAAAACCTTGATTTTCCCCTTTAATATTTCTTTATGTTTGGACTCCACACGCTCTGAGTTTACTCTGTGCTTTCAGGGTCATTTGTCATGCATTTACACATGTTTAATGTATTTCCACTGGGCAACAATGGACTTCTCGACCTCTACAACCAACATATTACTCCTTATCACAAGGCTTTACTTTGTTAAAGATAGGGTAGGTAAGAATGGAGAAACCAGCTTGAGATCGCTAGAATTTGAAAATACACAACCGGAACAAATCTGCCTCTTCCTTATCGAGCCCCTCCTCCAACACACACGAACGCGCACATGACCAATGAGGGCACCAGATAAGTTTGTGCACAGATGGAAGGCTGACAGGCAGGTAGGCCATCCAGTTATTTTAGCCGGGCCGGCTCAGATGATTGGTCGTGCTTTTTACAGTACTACAGCTTCCACAGATGATATTTATTTATGGATTTATTGTCAAAGCACTTCAGATATTCATTGCTATCTGGATGTTCAGAGCATTCCATGGAATATAACAAGTGTTTCTGAAGTGAATTACCTACCCTACCTTTAACTGGAAAACGGTCACATCTTGTGGTAAATATTTAGACAATTCCCTCTCTCTGTGATTCTCTGTTTTAGAAATATGGCAGACTTAAAGGTTTGATTAATGGCGCCGCACTTTGTTCATTTAAGGAACCATTTTCTTTGACACATTTGAATGTTTTTTTTCTAGAAGGCCTACGTGGGATTTACAGATACAGGAGAGAACATAATTTAGATTAGACTTAGAAAAATGGATCAATCCTAAACAATTGCCTCTCAGGACTTGATCATCAATAAAAAGGAATAGTTAACTTTGATAACACAGCAACCACTTTGCATATTTGTTATCCTACATTACATTATTTAATATAACTGTTTTATAACGTAAGGGGCAAATGAGTGCCTGACATGGTTGGAAATGTTTAGTTGGAATCAAATTAACTATTTCAATCATTTCGTCGTTAGCCATTTTAAGATTACATTTTGAGATGAGACGGCAGTATTTTTCCCTATTTCTTTGATAGTCGATATTACAGACCAAGTTTGCTTATAATTGTATATATAATCAATTGAACGTAAGTGGATGAAAAGGAAAAGCACGATTCCAGAGAAGTTTAAGCGCTGTAACATTAATAATCCACCCCGATATATCCACTGTAACATCCAATCCAACATCCAATCCCCCCTGAGGCGGGTTCCACTCTGATTCCCCGCAGCGCTGATGGGAAAGCGGAGGATGATGGTTGGGAGTGTTTCAGCATCAGGTGGGAGTTTATCAAGCAATAAGCTGGTGAGGAAAGTTCAAGTGGGGAAAAAATGGGCGTCAATGGTGCATTCCAACAAGGCTGCTGTTCCCTGAGATGCTGTGGAACAAATGGCTTTTTAAGTGGCTCACAGGCCATTTCCCACTGCTGCCCACACACTGTCTTTCTCGTGCTTAGACCCCTTTCTTTTCTCCACTGATGTGTTGCAGATACACACATTTTAATTTATTTTTATTTGTGAAAATGTACATTATGAGGACATTTATATCACTGTCTTGCAATCAACTTTAATCCAACTTCTAAATGTCTCCAATTTACATTATCCTCTATGCCAGTGGTTCTCCACTGGTCCGGCCTCGGGACCCACTTTTTCCTTAGTCAATAGATCGCGACCCGAAATTTTGAACCACTCAAATCTATTCAACAAAAAATGGTGCAGTAATATATATATATGCTTTTCAGCATACATTATTAATGAAAGTGAAGTACAGTGCATTTATCCCTTATATCCCTTCACAGAACTAAAGTATGCTTTTAAATAAGGTTTAATGAGATGATGGAATCAAAGCTGAACTGTGTCACACAAAAAGGCACACATGCTGAAAACCCAACCCCAGCAGGGGGTCTGGGGGGATTCTCCCCCAGGAGATTTTTAGAAATACTAACATATAAACTACGCATTCTGGTACACTCTGAGAAGAAAATAAATAGATGTATTACCACCCGACATATTAATAATATTTTATGCCATTGTTTGTTTTTCACTTTGTTCTGACAGCTTGCTGCTCCTCACAGAGAGAAGAGTAAAGAGGAGAGAGTCTGTGACTTACTTTAAATTGTGGGTAAGGGTAGATAGCTCCCATTGTTCTGTGACCTCTGACCTGTCAGTCATCAAACCGGGGGTCATATTTCATTATGTGTTCATTTGTATCTGAAGTTGTACCCATGGATGTATAAAGAATAGTTCTACCGCAAAGTTATTCTCCGTGGGGACTTCCGGCAACAATCTTGATTCTGATTGGCCAGAAGACTCGAAAAAACATCAGCAGAGATGTTTTATTGAGAAGATGATCACTACGTGACAGAAGTTTTCAAAACCGTTTATGGTCTCCGGTACTTCCAGTCCAACGCCTGCTGCATGCACAGCGTTAGAAAATCGGGCCTTCAAAATAAAAGTTTGACTTTTTTCCCCCAAAAAAAAAATAAAGGAATATTTTTGTTTTCGCGGCCCACCAGTTGAGAACCACTGCTCTATGCATTGTTAATTTATTTTGAATATACTAAGTCAATAATTCGTTAGTGCTATGTTTTAATTATCTTCATTTCTTTTTCTAAATTATCTTTTTTTTTTACTTTTGCAAGAAAAATAAACATTGATTTCAGACTTGAGGCATGCAATAACGCAGCTCTCTTTGTCTTGTTTTATTCATGCATATACAATAACATAACTTAGACTAAATAGACCACCTAGAACACATTTCTGACGAGTAACCCCCCCCCCCCCTAGTGTCAAATATCTGAAATGTGACATCACATTGGGCTTTAATGGTAAAATAACTCTTATTTATAACTTCATTAACGAGGATGATTTTTTGGTTTAAATTAGTTTTTACATTCTTTGAATTGAAGAATAAGAATATATTAACTAAATATAATTGAATCAGCTAAATTAACTGAGCAGATCATAATAATATTTCTAATTGTGCATATATGTCACTTTGGGTTTACTGTGAAAGTTTAGGGTTAAAGTCCCGATGTGACATCAGTGTCACAGCGATATTTATCTCATTTGTTTCATATCAATTTGATCATGATTTCCACAACAGGTTCAATGAAATAAAGGACATGTTATGTAAGCATTTTAATTCTTCAATGGCTTGAATTTTACCTTTAGCGACAACAACAAAAAGCTTTTTGGCTAGCTGTGTTAGTCTGGCACATGGACATCTTGGACACGTTGTCATGGGAACACAAAATCACATGACCTGGCCCAGGACCCAGCAGACTGTTCAGGGTGTGTCACTTAGGGACTTCATGAGAATAAGGAACTTTCCAGAACATTTAAAGTTCATGTGAAACCCGTGTAAAGATTAGACTTAGAAAATAGATAACACTTCTTAAACGATTGTCACTTTCCTCTCAGGAATGAATCATCAATTCAAAGTAAAGAAAAAAGGAATAGGTACATTTGATAACACAGCAAAAACTTTACATATTGTTCCTGGATAATTGACATGTTCATTACCAAGGAGAATAGTGAAATCCCCCGGTTTTATCCGAGGTACAGCCCTCTTTGATTCAGGTTTTTCATGACAGTGGTGCTGCTCGACTGTGTCAGCACGCTCATTATCTCGGCCGCGTGTTAAATGCATCGCCTGACACCTCCAGGTCAGCTCAGAGAGTACCACAAATGAAGTCTTTTTTTTGTGTTTAGAGTGCAGGAGACATCCTCACAGTGTCCTTTTGGATTACTGTTCTCCAGATAAGCGGGCAGTTTTGGCAGACAGGTGGAAGTCGGCTATTTTTAGACTGCTTAGTGGGTGCAACAACGACAGAAACGCTTATAAAAAATGAATTGCATTTTGAGAAGTCAGGATGAATAATGAGCATGGTAGAACATGCTGATAAGTGAAAAGCATCACGGGCAGGATTGGATGTTATTGGAAATGGTATTTAAACTGAGGAAACATCAGAGTGTTTACCAAATATCCTCCCCTCCTCCCTCCGGCCTCCTCGGCACATCTTTCCTTTAGTTTTCTTTCCCACTTAGTGAGTCAACAGTCGACAGCTGGGAGTGGAGCAGAGCATCTCGTAGGGCCTTATGTAACAGTTGGTGTCAGGCTAGAATGCTATTAAGATGTCTTATGGAGCTCTGCAGAGCAAACAACAGAGACTAAGTTAGCACCACGCGGGACCACATGTGACAGACGAGGAGGTAGTTCAATTCAAGAGATGACTCCAATAAAAGGTCTTCAGTTTTATCAAGTTATTTGTGAATTGCCTAAAAAAAAAAGACTTGTATTGGTTTGTTGCGGACTTGTTGCCCCTTCCCATTGGAGAGGAATTATAAGAAGTCATTGTACAGGTGTAAAGGTCTGATGACTAAGCTATTTGTTTTACTAAAAGTGGATAATATTGTTTTATCACCCAGCCCTAGTTGTAGTTTTGTCTCTCATATTGGATTTTTAATGTTTCACCAAATCTTTTTTTTTAAAGTGGACCTATCATGCTATATTTGAATAATATAGTGTAGGACCATACCTATATAAGGCATATTTATACTTTTTTTTTTTTCAAAATACCAAACAGATCATGCATTTTAGCCATGCCTCATTTTGCTCAATTTGACAATAACTAGATCTGTTTTAGCAAGGGCTGATTCAGTGAGAACAGCACCATCTACAGGCCTGGCATATGTACTACAGCGTCTCCAGCGCTTTAGAACGGCAATGGCCGTGGCTGTCTCCTCCTGATTGGTGGAGTTGGCCCAATAGCCGTAGCGCCACCGTCCTGACGTCAGGACAGTGTTCAAATCTGGATCAGTTTTTATCAGATCCGTTGCAGCCCCTTTTTTAGAGATTTGGGTATGGAGGAAAATAGAGAGGGTTGTGTTTTCTGACACTTGGTGAGTTCCCTGGAACACCGGGGACACATATTCATGTAGAAAAGACGTACACAAGTGCATTTTGCATGATAGGTCCCCTTTAAATTAGATGATTACAGAAATAAACTTTGATCCAACCGAGTGTCGACAACCTATACAAATGTTCTGCATTCTCAAAACTGTGCAGCTGGAATAAGCAATGTTTTGGCGTTTTTACTTCACTTTTGTTATACTCACTAACAATCATTAGTTGATGAACAAGTACATAATACATTTGAAATCATTCAGAAAATGATTGAATACAAATATTAATTTTTGCGACATTTAACACAGAGACAATATCCTGCTATGGTTTGTATCACAAGTGTATATTATTGTCTCCCAGATACCACTGATCTCAGGACAGCTGTGTAACCTTAAATGTCAGCCATGGTCCTTTTTTTAAATGTGATTTCCTCTCGTCTCTCCTCTCTCAGGAACCCACTGCGGCTGGGCGGCTGTTCAGATGCGCCTCCTCCATGAGCTGGTGTACGCGTCCCGTCGCATGGGGAACCCCGGCCTCTCTGTGCGCCATCTCTCCTTCCTGCTGCAGACCATGCTGGACTTCCTGTCAGATCAAGGTCAGCTCACAATAAGGTCAAGCAGGGATGATATATGTGTTAAAGCTGAGCTGGAAGTTAGCAATCCAACGGGCTTTCTCCTTTGAGTTTTGAATATTACGATAGGATAGGATAATACTTGAATGGTCAGATCAAATCTGAAATTTGACTTGCATGAAAAACAAACGACAAACATTTAACATAACATCACAATCACAATGATCCTTTAGCGTGCATCTGATCTGGATTTACTGAGAGGATCGACTGGAGCACAAAGGATGCTTCAGTCTGACTTTGATATCTGTGTGAAAGCTGACCTGGAAGTTAGCAATCCAATGGGCTTTCTCCTTTTGGTTTTTGAATATTGTCCGAGATCTGCTGCTAACACACGTATGGTACTGACATGTTTTTATCTTCCCCCACATATTACACCACTTGTATCATAGTTGAAGATTGAATGCAGTTGCCAGGTAAGGCTATAACTGCTTCATGTCCCCAGCGCTAAGCTAAAGGTGGCTAGGTCAGCTCACAAAGCAGTGGTGCAGGGATACGATAATACTTTAATGGTCAGGTCAAGTCTGAAATGTGACTTGCATCACAGCAGCTCCATGTGTAACATCAACATAGACAAATATCAATATGGGCTTTCTCTTTTGGGTTTTGGAATATAATATCTGCTGCTAACACACATTTATGATGCTGACATTTTTAATCTGCAAGATCATCTCCACATATTAAAACCACTTGTATTGTAGTTGAAGATTAAATGCAATCGCCAGGTTAGGCTACAACTCCTTCATGTCACCACCGCTAAGCTAAAGGCGGCTACTGTAAAACAAAACGTTAAAATCTCTTCAGTTATGTCTCAACAACAGACCTTTTTTTAACCGTCTTACCATAAATGCGTACAAAAAACTATAGACTTCGAGGCAATGGAACCCCAAAGTGCTAAAATGCTAACCCATTTCCAGGTTTTAGGACTCATTCCTGCACCACTACATTAGTCTTAAAGGCTGCAGTATTACACTTTTTTTCCCCACTGTAGTATTTTAACCCTGCGAGGTGCTTCTAGCCTTCTAGCAACGGCCAACCTGTCCTTTGGTGATTATGGCATTATACCTTGTTCTTAATAATATGTGATGTACTTCAAAGCCAGTCTTTTCTTGGCTGGAGTGCAACATTGTGCTCTGACCAGAAGTCCTGTGCAGCCTGGAGATAGGGTTTCTATTTGAAGATGTGTGTGTGTGTGTGTGTGTGTGTGTGTGTGTGTGTGTGTGTGTGTGTGTGTGTGTGTGTGTGTGTGTGTGTGTGTGTGTGTGTGTGTGTGTGTGTGTGTGTTGTGGTGTGTGTGTGTGTGTGTGTGTGTGTGTGTGTGTGTGTGTGTGTGTGTGTGTGTGTGTGTGTGTGTGTGTGTGTGTGTGTGTGTGTGTGTGTGTGTGTGTGTGTGTGTGTGTGTGTGTGTGTGTGTGTGTGTGTGTGTGTGTGGTGTGTGTGTGTGTGTGTGTGTGTGTGTGTGTGTGTGTGTGTGTGTGTGTGTGTGCTGTGTGTGTGTGTGTGTGTGTGTGTGTGTGTGTGTGTGTGTGTGTGTGTGTGTGTGTGTGTGTGTGTGTGTGTGTGTGTGTGTGTGTGTGTGTGGTGTGTGTGTGTGTGTGTGTGTGTGTGTGTGTGTGTGTGTGTGTGTGTGTGTGTGTGTGTGTGTGTGTGTGTGTGTGTGTGTGTGTGTGGCAAGCCTGAATTATTTGTATAAGGGTTTTAAAAAAAAAAAGTTATATAAATAAAATGACTACAAATAATAACATGTATAAATCCCCAGCCAATTGACACAAAGTGATTGTTATGTGGTTTTAGGCCAAAAATACAATGTATAATACACTCAGGAAAAGTGCATCTGATTAAATGTACCCAAGGTGAAATATAACAAGTATTATTAAGCTTTAAAAAAATGAATATCTTCTTATTTTAACAACATAACTGTGACCCTCGTCATCAAATAGTACTTCATAGAGCATTTTCCCTGATAATGATATTTGTCTTGATAAGAGGGATCGTGTCAAAACAAGTGCCATAAAAGAGAGTGTAATTGAAAGGGAGATGATTACAAGAGCCTGAGATATCGTCTCTTTGAAAACACCACATACTGTAATGTCCTCTCCTTGCCCACAGGAGCCATGTCTTTGAACAGTTCTCTTTATGAAAGGCCGCTCGAAGGCTGGATGTACCTTGTTAGTGTGTGTGGTATCTTGCAAACATAAATCAATGTGTATATACTGTATATATTGAATCTGTGTCGGTTACAGGGATTTAATGAGGTGAACTGTCCCTAACCACCAATTAGTGATCCTCTGGAGTCTAAAACCACCTCAAATCAAACTTTACCAACATTCTTAGGAATAAAAAGCGATGTTTTTAAAGCACAGTTCCAATAACAAGTGAAATTGTTGCCTAATTTGTCTTCTCAAAGTAGAACATTGATGTGGTTGTTTAGGGGTTGCAGACTTGCAGAAGTACTACCAAGGGCAGATAAAGTTATTTTATTGATTTACATAAACTCACATTGATCCCTATTTTTTTCTGCAATGCTATAAAACTTATTTTAAAAGACTCCTATAACCAAATATACTACTTTTGTTCACCAAAATGCACCACCTAACTCTGCAGTACCTCCCGTTTGAAACACAAACAATGCACTGTTAAGCAGGAAGGAGTGTTAATGTGTCAGGTGAAGTCAACATGTCGTGACAGTGCCTGCAACACTTCAGTGAACTCACACAAATAGAGATGGATCCGTTTGATATTGCTTTCTTTTTTAAATAGTTCACGTCATACCAGAAGGATTAAGATCATCCTATGAGTTGCTCAGTTTCCAGTCTACAAGGACTATTGTTATTACTTTTTCTTGAAAGCAGCCAGAAGTCTTTAAATTATTCATAAAACTTTTGATAAGTCTGTTTGTGGTGTCAGAAGTTTTCATTTCACCATAACATTTGATAAATCCTTCCCCACTGTCATTAAAGGTATTTGAAGCTCACCTCTTCTCAGTAGTGTCAATAAAAACACCTCCTTCTCAGCAGGGGCCCTTGAATGTTCTGCTGGGGTTACACACACACACTCACTCACTCACTCACTCACTCACTCACTCACACACTCACACTCACACTCACACTCACACTCATACACTCAGGCCCCGGCTCCACGAGGACAAATACGGCAAAACGCATCGGAGTAACGCAAATGCAACCGCAAAAAAGCTTCCGCCCACACGCAATATACACCGGATTGTGTCAAGCTCCACAAGACGGCTCCGTTTACATCCAAACGCTGGAAAAGCTGCAGTACATATGCCGAACCTGTACGTGGCGCTGTAACTTCCTCCACAAAAGCAGCAACTTCCTCCACAAAAGCAGCGAAGAAGAATGGTTGTCATGGCTGCACTTCTGTTTTTTCTCCGCGGTGGGGGCCGAGGGAACCGGGCAGAGTTTTTCGCCGGTCAACGTGTGTTAACGTTTAAATCTTCATGCTTCCTCATGCAGCAGCTGATCCAGTAAGTAAACCCGACAGTAAAAATAAACATATTTATAACTAGTTTAGTTTGAGAGGTAATTAAAATAGCTAAGGGTGATGATCTGACTTGAAGTGTGTGTTTTGCTCCGGCTGCATCACAGCGGCAGGAGCTGCGTGTCTCCGTCCTGTCAGATTAGACTTCACTCGCGTTTATGTCCATATCGAGAGAAAGATAAATAATCTGAATTCAGTGTGCAGTGTACTTTAGCGGGGGTGAGCAGCAGAGGTGGGGAGAGGCGGGGCTATGAAACGCATGACCGTATAGGCGACCCCACGGCCCCGTTGGACCCCCCAGAGCGCTCCGTTCCCAGATCTATCCACCTTTGGACCCGTTGTCGTTTGCGGGGTCTGTTTCTACGTTTCTGTTACGGCGTCGTCGAGCTTAAAGGGCTATACGCATGAGAAATATGCGGATTCAACCCGTTTTCGTCCTCGTGGAGCCTAGGCCTCATACTCACACTCACACTCACACTCACACTCACATACTGCATGCAGCACAGGCAGTATGAGAAAAATAAAGAGCTTTTTGAACATTAAAGCATGGAGACATGTCCCAGTAGAGACACTAAACACGGATATGAACCTGAAGAATAATGTCCTTGGTAACTTATTGACCACATACTTTCCAATTGTAGCCGTGCAGCAGACACAAACAGACGCATTTCATAAGCATAGTAATGCTGTTGAGTTTCTTTCAACTCTTGATTTGATTCAAAATGTGAATGCTGAATATTAACATATTTCCTTACCTGGACAGTGTGTTCCAGCTGTCAAAATAATAATGTGCTTTGTTGTGTTTGTCTGGGCAGGGATCTCAGTGAAAAGCAGGTAAAAACAAGTCAAAAAAATGTTTCCCGTTGAGTTTACCTAACAGACAAAGGAGGGTTGGAGAAATGTTGTTGCTTTTTGGGATAAGTGCAATTGGACACACAACAAACACTGTAGCTAAAGCCCGGCTTACGCCTGACATGCTCACAATGTCTGGGGAAATAACCAGCAAGAAGTCACAATTTGTAAGCCTATAAGTATAGTAAAGGCGAACAAACCACCCTAACTTTTTTTTATACTGCTGCGAGTCTATTTCAATGGCTTTGTTGGACCCTGAAGATGTCGTGGTGACATTTTATACGTGTTGCTGAATGGTTGATATCGCTCCGTCACGACCTGCCTTCATCAGCATTCGTTATTCAGCACGCATGAATGGTCTAAAAGAGACATTTTTTTGTTAGTATTGTATGCTGCTCCTGGCAAACACGCTTAATATGAACAGAACATTCAAACAGGTCCCTGCTTTTGTCCCCGAGTGGCCCCGATCAGACGGCTGCTGTGAACACTCAGACATGGCAAACAAGGGGGAAAAATGGACAAATAAGCCATCAATCATAACAAGCAGTGAGCCAAGAGGACAACTGAGCTATCGCCCATTTATCTCTTGCTATTTTATTCCCAATGCGCTTTTT